CAATATGCCCACATTAGAGGATACTGAAAAATGACGGAGGCGTGAATAAACAACCAATGCAATCTTTGTTATTGCGTGATTGCACACGACGACTACAACAAATCGCGCAAAGCCCATTTTGCTCTGCTTTGGTTCGAGCACGAACTCTGTGGTAGTTCTCACGGACATGACTCCTTCTGCTGGCTCTCACCAGATTAGTAACGATGTTGTTTTTTGCCTAATTCTCTCGTGAATTTATCATTTTCTGCACTCTATGCGCGGAAATGCGTGGGGAGCGGTATCTACATCCAATAAAAAACATTGAAATGCTTTTGTTAGGTTACAACAAATAATAGGTAATTATTTAACGGCTAGGCCTCGTTTTGTAAGGCTAAAAACGGGTCATACCAATAAAACCTCTAGTTAAAGCTTTTGGGGGTACATCAACTGTTACACTTAAGGTACTTGGATGCTATTTTAACAAACCCAGCTGACATGCCCTATGCACACGCACGCACGCAGCGCAGCACGTGTTGCACACATACGGTGCCTGCCTGCCACAGGCACACATGCCCAGTACCAGATCAAGAATTGCATCGCATCTATGAAACATCATTTTCTATTTATCCCATAATAAATATATTTAAATATTTGATAGGCATTACCGTATAAATTTCACATTTACTATATCGTAACTACATGCACAACGTTGGCACCACTTTTTGGCAGCGGAGCTTCGCGTGCGTTGCCGTGTCTCGCGAGGTATTCATTCCTCTCTGTTTCATTGCCAGGACAACACGATGACGGCGGCCGGCTGTGACGTTCACGTGTTTGACCGCGTCACGTGCGCATCAGCATCGACAGCACCAAAATCCAGCCCACAGAAAGTGCAGCATTGCCAGCCTCGTGCCAGTCCGCGGTGAGTCCCGCCACCGCTCCCTGCCTGCCATGCCCGCCACCGGCCACCGCCCATGCCTCACGTCCGCTTCCACCCACGCGCCTGCCTCAGCCTCGCCGCCACCCAACCGCCCTGCCTACCACGCTCCGCGCCGCGCTTGCATGCCTCCACGCTCCGCACCACCACGCAGCCTGCCTACACGCTTCCACCCCACCACCGCCCTGCCTCCACGCTCGCCACACTCCGGGCATGCCTCACGCTCCGCCCACCCACCGCCCTGCCTCCACGCTCCGCCCCACGCTCTGCATGCCTCCACGCTCCGCCCACGCTCTGCATGCCTCCACGCTCCGCCCCACCCACCGCCCTGCTCTCCACGCTCCGCCACACCATTCTACTGCCCCACAAGTGCTATGAGCGAGCTTGCCAAACTAGCCCTATGGCAAATTCCCGGTGTTAAAATTTGACGAACCCAGCACGCCCGGACGGAATCTTTCACCCATTCTTCGAAGACTGTTAAAAAAATTTTATACGTCTGTGACCTCGATGAAGCTCTCTGTCTTGGCGGTCTCGTGTTGTATGTGGTGACATCGATTTTGCCGGGGGTCTACATCATTTCGGCGCCTGCCTTCGAAAGCAATGCAGTGATAAGTGGTGTGGAGGCAGACGAGTGCACGGTGGATTAACTGGGGAAACTAGGGCTCCTAACGCGCAGAGCGCAATACCCGGTACGGTGCCGGCGTCAGAGCGCAGTTAACAGAGTCACGCGACTACTACCGCGACTGTCGCCTTCACCCCACATCGATGATGATCGGAGGTATTTGTAGGCGCGGGCTGCCGTGCGCGTGCCTACGTAGCGATGGGATTAGCACGCGCGCGGTACGGACACTCGCGATGCCGTTCCGCTTGCGACCGACGTCACTGCACTCGTTGTGTAAATCGACTTTCACCGCCCTGATACGATTTTGTCCTGCCGTGCGTCCCGGCGCTCGCACATCCGACCATCTGCGATGCTGGAGAGGGGGATGTTTCCTGGAAACTTTGAAGTTGCCAGCCGAATTCATTGAGCAGGGGACTATACGTGATCGGCTGCTTGGGCTGGCCCAACGTGTTTCAACTGTAACCTAACGAGTGTTTGTGACATTGACCCAAACGTGAATCACATGTTCATTGCACGATACACCCCCCACCTCTCACTGATGGCATTTCACTGGCCGAGCTGCTCGTTGGAAGTCTACTTGTATGGCATTGTCTGTCAGAATACTGACAGGTGTTGTGTGTGTCATTTGCGCGTTTTTAGGTGCTGCGGATTCAGCGTGCCAGAGAACGTGGGAGAGGGAGACTACAATACAAGCAATCAGCACTGCCAAGGAAGCAGAGGAATCAATGAACCGCGAAAAAAACAACATGAGGACGAACGTGGCTTTGTGTGGCTGTTTTTTTAGAAAGAATAATCAATCTAGGCAATGTATACGTGTCCCCATGGTTCCATGTTCATGTTGTGGGTGGAATGATTACAGTGGCGGTGCGATTGTTGCATCTCATGCACAGACGCATTTTGAGGCGTACGGAAACCTTTACAGCTAATACAATCACCTCTGTGTCCACTTACATGTATTATCGTCTCACGCTTCAACATCAGAAAGCTGAAATGTAACAGATGAACAGCATTGCCACCTAGTACACATTTTTTATGATTATAAAGGAATAGCCAGTATGTCCAGTGTAACATTGCTTATTAAAATACCCTGCATGCTATTTGCATTCTGGGGAGAAATTGTCTGCTCTCCAAAACGGAGAATTCAGCAACATATCAGAAGATTGTTAACAATTTTCAATACTTTTTCATCACAATATAATCACAATGTATGTTGATGCTTGATAATTTTCTTACAGTGCATACGGACATAAATAGCAAAAATAGAGTAGTTATTGAGGATACACACTATCATACAAGAGAAGGCAAGGGCGCGCTTAGTAAACGCACTAGAAAAATATGCCATACTAGAAAGCAGACGCATAAATTCGAAATTATAGCACACAACAATGCATTATGGCAATTCAGCAGAAACGGCGGGCAGCTATGGAAACGCCACTAGAAAAATATGCATATTGAAGCAGCTAGAATGCTGAAACTGGCGTTCTAGTATCTCACACCGCGCAGCTGTGGTGGCCTTCGAATCACACACACACTGTGTTCTCTCAGCCAGCGAACGCGTAACGTTTCGGGAATTTAATTAGACCCGAGATAGTCATCCGCTATTACATTTTGGGCTCGTGCTGTCTGGGACGAATGTTTGCGGGGAAGGCGTAAGTTTAGTGTGGAAGTGGTGTAGTGTGTGTTTTAGGCGTCAATGTCGCTCGCCTCCTCGATTACGCCTCCAACTGAGATATATGTTTTGTGTGAATTTCTGGAATGGAACTTAGGCCTTTCGTTCTTGTTCGGAACTGCCAATAGAAAAAAGCCTGCTTTAATTTGCAGAATGAAATAATTTTCGAATAATGTTCTGTTAATTAACATTAGTACTCTGTTCTGAACCCGTAACTGGTGGGATTTCGTCATTAGTTTATTAATTAACTTCGCAACCTTGTGCCTTTCCCCTGATCAAAAATTCGCTTAGATGTGTCCATGAAATTATGACTACAGCACAAGCCCAGCGCCAGCCCGCTTGCCCGGCCCCCACAGCTCGGCTTGATACAACTGACTCACCTCCTTGGGTGCTAGCTGGTTTCTTCTCCTGAGTTTCACTTGCTTCAGCTGTTTCGCATCGAAAAGCTCGATGCCCTTTGATGAATTATCGTAGGCTCTCGCTCCGCTTCTATGCTGTAGCAAAATGATATCTCGATAAGTAGCAAAGGGCATTCGGTGAGGCAATAGTCGCACCTTGACGTTCGTAGTACCACCCACCCATCCATTATACAAACATTTGATAACTCCAATACAAGCTATAAGCTTAGTACACATGTCCATGTACTGTAACCCTCACGTGCTAAAATTTTTCAGATAACGTGCACGCACCTTACAGGATTGCTACTGGACTTCCAAACTGACATATTGACAAACACACGCACATTAGCGTCAGCTTGGCACTATCGCTCGGCATACCGCTAGGCTTTATCCTAAGTCACATGTAAAGTGGAGGCCTGATTCCACTCCACCGTGTACCCCTGTGGGTTTGCTGAGCTTATCACTCCACACCATGGTGCGATAATCTTATCGATAACTCACCAAAAGGTTCCGATAAACCCCGAGCTAGGAAACGCACGTGGACAGTTGTTACTGCTTGTTAGCATATTGCCACACGTCATGACACACAGCCACATTTGTTAGTGGACACAATGCTAGAACCCTCGGCATGGCCAACACGCCGCGCATGCGAGTACAGGAGCACGATGCTTATCTGGGCACCCAAGTAGAAATCAGTCAAGCAAGCAGACCTTTTCGCGGATACGATACGCATGTCTGCCCCCAAAAACAATGTGACATCCTTTGCCAGAACGGGAAACGCCACGGCGATGCGTCTTTCGGGCAATGCGGCACACCGCATATGCGATATTGCAGTGTTGGCCAATGTTGCCGTGGCGACGTTACCTACGAGTTTCTGACGGACAGCACAGACATCTCAGCTGTTGCCGTGGTTACCGCGATTACCGAGGTGTCGGGCGGCATGGTCTTCTCGTTTGTCGCCACGGCGACCGCATTACAGAGTGTCGTGCGGCATGGACTTTCTCGTTCGTCTGCCACGGCGACCGCGATTACCCGAGGTGTCGGGCGGCATGGACTTCTCGTTTGTCGCCACGGCGACCGCGATTACCCGAGGTGTCGGGCAGCATGGACTTCTCGTTTGTCGCCACGGCGACCGCGATTACCTGAGGCGTCGGGCAGCACAGACATCTCAGCTGTCGCCACGACCGCGATTACCTGAGGCATCGGCAGCACGGACTTCTCGTTGGTGTCTGCGTGGTGCAGCTTGGCCTTGTTGAAGCCCTTGACGCCGATGAGAGCGCTGTCGTGTGGCAGCGACGTCTTCTCCTGCGTCGCGGCGTGCTTCATCGAGCCCTTGTCAAAGCTCGCTACGCCCTCCAGCAGGTTCATGTGAGTCTTCTCCTGCGCGACGTCTGTGAGACGGACGGACGAGCGGAGACAGCGAGCGAGCAAGCAAGAGAGAGAGAGAAGAACATGCGAGGAGAACGGCATGCAAATCTGCGCTAAACATTGCTGTTATCGTCTCTGTTTTTTTGCTTGTTATCGAAGGAAAACAACCGTCGATGACGCCAGTAATAGTCATCTTGGTTTTAGCCTAGGGATGAGCAGACGAGAAGGGAGAGCATGAACGTATGTGTAGAGTTTATAGTATCTACACATGCGTTCATACTAGGAGGAGCCAAAGTTACAAGTAGCATAACTCATTGGATTTTCCTGTTTGTTAGGTTTGTTATTAGAATTTACGTATACATGCATTTTAGATTTGTACTCATGCGCTAGACTGTATTTGGAGGGATCTCTCACAATTTTCGGCAAGTTAATCAGTCGGAAATCGATCATACGGGCTGCCGGTTTATGGCAAATTTAATCAACTAGCAATTTTCTTATCACAAAATGATAATCTGAACGTGATGCTATTGGCACGCAAACATAATAGCAGCGTATTTGGACGGTTCTACGCAACAAAAACATTTTATAAACATGTAGCCTCCCAGATGATATTTGACTGCTGTTTTGGGATTATGAATTTTTTTTGCGAATAAAAAAGATAATCTTGCAGGCAAATGCCAAATGTTAGATCCAGACAAAGCACACAGCAAACCATGCAGTGCCGCACAATTGCGCGGCCCACCTATAAACATTCGATCCATCCCTGCCTCCCTTGTCTGCAAACTATTTTCATGCGTTTGTGTACGTACACAAAGGGAGTTGCACGCCACATACCACTGCGTCTGACTACAGCAACTGTTAACTCAAAGTTTCTCAACCTCAAAACTCCAAAATACGATAATCAGGTTTTTGAAGTACGCAAAAAAACGTGGAGGATAAGACGCGCCTGTCATAATGCTATCAAAAGATAAACGTCGGCATCTTCAATCGACGATGAGAAATGGTTTTATTTGTCAAGCTACGACTAACCAGTTTGCAAAGCCATTACCACACGCCCAAACCAAACGATATGGTTGATGAGCAAGCGAAGATGCTTCGAATCTCCAATATCAAGAACATATATAAGTCATCTCGTAAGCACACTTTGGAATTGAATTACGTGAGAGCGTTGCAATAAGTCACACATCTCGCTCACAAAGCACCACGGCACAAAGCAGTGCAGTATATTCTAAGTGGAAGTTAAGTTAAGTGGCACTTGGATCTTTATCTTAATCTACAGAAATTGGCACGAGACTTCCAATCATCAGACACATTCGGATTCGAGGTTGAGATACTTTTGAAGTTGCTGTTAACGCAAATAGAATCTCCACCCAACACAAGTTCACTCCTGCGAATTTTCCCCCGATCCACGCAAGCTCCCGGTCTACCACCGCCCGGCAGGCATGCCAGTTGCGACATCCAGTTCCACCCGGCACGCGCGCGCAGGGGGGAAGACACCTACCTTCCTTGTCGGGAAGCACGACCTTCTCCTGCACCTCCGTGTGTGTCAGCTTCTCCTTGTCGTAGTGTGAGACGCCGTACATGATCGAGTCGTGCGTGAGTGCCGACTTCTCGACCGTCTGTGTGTGCGTCAGCTTCTTCGAGTCAAACTGCTGCAGCTCGTCCTTAATGTCCGCCGCCGGTTTTGGTGCATTTTTCATGGAAGCCATCTTGGATTTCCGTTTCGCTCTGCGGGGAAACGACAATGGAAGCTGCGGTTGACAAATTATGCAAATGTCGAGCTGGGGGATATTTTTGTGGGAAATTGTAATTTCGCGAGGTTTTTCCCGCACCGAGTATAAAAGAGCAGCGCCTACAGGAAGGGGGCGGAATACGGAATTCAGATTTCCCCCAATGAGCGTGCATTGAGAAGACAGGACAAATACCAACGTGCTTGTTATAAGCAGGATACTTCTAAACTATAATAATCTTTTCACGAGAAAACTTCACAATTCATTTAGCTCACGTGGTGCTGACGTGAGCATAAGACGAATGTTTTCGGGGCCACGGCACGAACTTCAAATACGTGAATAAAATCATGAATGGAGCTTTTCGATATATAGGACAGGATGTTTCTGCTGGCCTGTACAGAGAAATCTTACAGGATATACTTGGATAAGAATCATAATTCACAAGCTGTGTTTATCTTGATCTCGGCACAACTTCCCCTACGACTTCTAAATGAATAATTTTTTGCATTGATTTGATAAATCCACATAATTCAAACACACGTGCACAGATAAACAGATTAAACACCCACCCAGACATACGCCCACGCACACGTGCACGCATAAACACCCACCCAGACGCACACCCAAGGGGTGTTGCTATCCCCCGGGCGTGGAGGGAGGTCACGTGATAACGTTGACGATGACGTTCAAAACGTTAAACCTAACGGTAACCCTCACTCCAACACCGCCAACACTAACCATCACACTAAATATGTATGTATCGCCGCGCTATATATAGGCATTGTGATCCACAAAAATTAATCTATGGTGTGGGGACAGATATCATGATGCAAAAACCTTAACCCTAACCCTAATCCTAACCCTAACCCTAACCCTAACCCTAATCCTAATCCTAACCCTAACCCTAACCCTGACCCTAACCCTAATCCTAACACTATCCCAACACTAGTGCTGCCACGTTGCAGTCACCTCCCTCCACGCCCCGGGGGATAGCATTACCCCACACCCAAGCACACGTGCACACCCATCAGTCCCCATCCAGACATGCATGCATGCACGCACATGCACGCACGTGCGCACACCCACCCAGACAAGCACCAATGCACACACGCAGATCTATAGATAGACACACCCACCCTGCCAGACATGCATGCATGCACGCACATGCACGCACGTGCGCACACCCACCCAGACAAGCACCAATGCACACACGCAGATCTATAGATAGACACACCCACCCTGCCAGACATGCATGCATGCACACACATCTGCTACCCATATACAATTTTAAAGTTCTGTATATATACAACTTGCCCAACTTCAATGCTTTTCCTTCACAGCCACACAGTGACACACACACAATATCTGTACACAAGTATTTTAACACTGTGCAGCTGTTGACAGATGAAATGGCTAGGGTTTCTGGTTGCAGGCAAAAGGAAGCATCAATACACCCAGCAGGGTGTGTTTCTCAGCATGTGTTCAAGCTCTACTATGACAGATGGCAGACACCCTCCACCCACACCCAGTGTGAATGACATCACAGTCACAGCGACTGCATAATATCACCTATAGTGCTCTGTATAGCATAGTGTCTATGTTCAGCCATGAGTCCCAGCCAGGACATCCACGAATATATATGTGCGTGCATGTGTGCGCGAGTGCCTGCAACATTGCATTCATTGTTCTCGTACATGTGTGAGAACAGATGACACTTATTAGTTCAAAATATGTGTGACAATACCTATAGCATTATACTATTGCACGAATGACAAGACACCCTGTGTGTGCGCGCACTTGTGGGTGAACACATGACATCAATTCAGGCGCAGCGTCACGGAGGGGGGAGGGCGGTGCCCCCCCTATGAACGCGTGGATATTCGTCGGAGCAAAATATACACACAAGTACAAACAGTCAACCTAACCCAAACCTAACCGTAACACTAACTCTAAACCAACTAAATCTTATATACGCGTGTCATAGTACCCAAATTAATCTATGGTGTATAACCTTTCGTAGTGATGCGCAACGATACTCGGACGAATATCCACGTCGCTAACCCTAAACCGAACCCTAATCCTAACCCTAACCCATAGCGTTACGCGTTACGCATTAGTGCCGTTTACTAACCGGGGGTACTGTATGGGAGGGGATGTGTCAAAATTCAAACGTTCAATTGATCGATTGATTGTTCAATTGAACAGTCGTTTAATCATTCAAACGATCAATTGATCGATTGATTGTTCAATTGAACAGTCAATTTAATCATTCAAACGTTCAATTGATCGATTGATTGTTCAATTGAACAGTCAATTTAATCATTCAAACGTTCAATCGATCGATTGATTGTTTAATTGAACAGTCGTTTAATCATTCAAACGTTCAATTGAGCAATTAAATAATGAATTGCCAAATTGAATCGCCGAATTGACGATTTGACGAATTGACAAATCAAAGGCACGAATACTGAATAGGCGTATTGAATCATGGAATGGAACAATTGCCGAGGCTCGTCTATCGAGCAATTGCCAAGGCTCGTCAATCGAGCAATTGCCGAGGCTCGTCTATTGGCTGTTCAATTGAACAATCAATCGATCAATTGAACATTTGAATGATTAAATTGACTGTTCAATTGAACAATCAATCGATCAATTGAACGTTTGAATGATTAAATTGACTGTTCAATTGAACAATCAATCGATCAATTGAACGTTTGAATTTTGACACATATCCCCTTCCATAGTGCTGGAGGTGCTGCAGCACCCCCTGTTTTTTTAGTTGAGTAGTGCGTGTGCACGTACACGTGCGTGCGTGGGCACGTACAAGTGCATGCGTGTGCACGTACAAGTGCGTACGACGTGTGAACGTACACGGCTAACTACGAACTCGCTTATAACGAAAACAATGCCAAGCTATGACAAAAGAAGCGTCAAAGGCGCCGCCTGTCTGTAGTATGGTAATTATTTATTTATTTTTAGTTGAGTAGTAATTTTAGAATGTTTTCTCAATAAAATAATGCATGCTGCGGTATGCTGGAAACACCTGCCGAAATTTCGAGTGGTTTACGGCACCTCGTCAGCTCGTGTAAAGTTACGCAAAGGTTTACGTAAATTTTAGCTTGATGAATCGCACCTAAAACGGCCTCGCTGGCATACGCGACATCGTACTCAAATTTACTAAATAACTGCGTTGATAAATCGCACCTAAGCAACGTCGATTGCGTACACAAGATTTACGCAAAATATTTTGCGTACGCAGCTTGATGAATCATGAATCCCCTGGACCCCACCCGTCAGTGCAAGCGCACACGGTATCAGAGTCTACAGTTTGAATTTCGCCCCCCCTCCTAAGAAAATACCTTGGCGCCGCCCCTGCATTAGTTCATTGTTTGCACGAGTGCGAGATACATGCAAGACCTTTTATACGTGACCATAACCATGAACATATCTATACAATGCATACTTATGTTTATGACGATGCCTAGGTCCAAGAAACGGTCAGACGTCGAAAGAATATGTGTACTGACGTTTGTCTCAAAAACTGGTCGGCCTAGACGTATCTGTCCACATATCCGGCCACACAATAGCTCTACCATGATACTACACCATACCAGGGGAAAAATTACTTTTTTTTCACGGGAGCTCTTTTTCAAGTCTGTGGGAAAAATAGCTCTCGTCAAAAATTTTACGGGAGCCATTTTGAGCCTCACGGGAGCGATTTCGGAGGTTTGAAGAGCGAATCGCTCATCGCTCCCGTGTATTTTTTACCCTGCCCCATACTTGTTTCCACTGATAAGAAGCTCTACGCTCCAGTATGGTGGAGTTAACTGCCATCTGCACATCCACTAGTGCTTATTTTCAAGCCGATGAGTCATATTATCTCGTTTTCGAGTCTCTGTTTTTACTACAGCGTGTATCTAGAGCATGTTTACGCGTTGCACTATCAGATTGCAAACGAGAGCGCAGCCCGAGTTTTTTTAAACCATGCGCAGCCTACAAGTGAATGATAAATTAACAGCGATGATTACATAACGAGAATGTGGCGCGGCAACTTCACAGCACTCGCAAGTCTGCCACTTGCTCACACACTCAAATCATCGGATATACAGCCTAGTTCTCCCACGCATACGGACACCAGGTAGAGCACAAAGACACACACACACACCCGGCAACATCATGCGCGCAAGTAGGTACGTGTCAGTGTCTGCCCACATCCTGGCGACAGTTGCTACCAGGATACCGACCCCCCTACTTGCCCACTTCCATTTCCCTTACATACTCGCTAACAGATCACACAGATTTCCCTGCAAGGTAAAGTAATCCACCTCATAGCAATTTAGTTGTTAGTAGAATCGTGGTGCAATAATACTCTGCAGGGACGCAAATCTCTGTCTAGAGGGACGGGTACAAACGCCACAGTACAATAACACTTTGTGGTAATACATGTCGCTGTGAATAGAGTCGGGTGCTCCTCTCAGAGTATGATAATATCCTACAGGAATGCAAGTCTCTATCCACAGAGTGGAGTACTCCTACCAGAGTAAGATAATACTCTCCAGAGATGCGAGTCTCTGTCAACAGTCGGGTACTCCTCCTAAAGTATAATAACACTCTGCACAGATGCAAACCTGTCTCTAGAACTGGGTGTTCCTTCCCATAGTACAATAATGTTCTGCAGGAATGCAGTTGTTTCTGCTCATATAGTCAAGTACTACTCCTGAAGATGTTTTGTCTTCAGTCTGACTCTGTTGCCAGGCTGGGTAAGCAGTTGGTTGTACGTTACACAGTTTGCCAACGCAATCTACACAATCTAACAGCGAAACAAAATTTGTTAACTATTAGTATTAGCAACACAACCATATATCGGGTACTTCCAAGAGATTCCCATGTCGACATACGAGTTTTCCACTTTTGCTAAGCAAAACTCTTAAATCGATTCTCTAATAATAACAGCAGCAATCTTTTGTTGCAACTAAATGTCAACTTCCACTCCACATTTGAGTGATTGCTAGAGAATGCATATATATATACTGCGGTTATAAAACTGTCTCAAAAATGGATAACTGCATAAACAGTTGTCCAAGCCTTCGTTACAGAAGTCACATATATATATATACCACACTTGGATATAGGAAACATCACATAAGATTTTATCAATCATCAATAAAAAATCATCAAGTAAATTTAAACAAACAGTCAATTTCATCAAGTAATCTAATAACAACACCATAATAAGTAAATTGTTTCGCCACGATGGTTCATTCAGTTAATCGTACCCCATCAACAGCCATGATAACCAATGACTGCTCGCGAAATGGGATGCCGCACGCATGAACCAAGTCTCAAAGATAGTGCGAAGACTGAAGGTGTGGGCAAGGACTATTAGCGAGATGCTACATAATGCCACACTCGTGATTTCTCACTGCTGTACCTTCGCACGGCACATCGTGCTCAACGACATTCGGGGGTTTGGTAAGGTACGCGTGGCACGGTCAGTCACGCGCCAGGGCAACCCTTCTCCAAGCCCGACTACACAACATCACACAGCTCGAATCAAACCAACCACAGACCTACCTGCATGCCCACCTGCAT